TCACTTCTAAAATAAGCATTTCAAGCTCCTGTGACAATGTAATCGTGCAAACTCAGTACCTGTGTTTTAATTTCCCTTTTTAACTGCTTTATTAAAATACCTCAAGAAAATTCTACATTTTCTTAGAAAAAGCTGTATAAGTCTGAGTGATAGTGTACACCTGTAGTACTGGTTACTCTGGGGACTGAGGCAGGAGGATCACTTGAGCACAGGAGTTTGAGGTCTTTCTGGGCAACATAGTAAGACCTTATTTGGGGTTGGGGGTGGGCAAAAACTATGTGTATTAACTTCTTTTTTTTGGTGCTAGGGATCAAACCCAAGGCCCTGTACATACTTAGCACACGTTTTATCACTGAGCTACATCCCTGGCCCGTGCTTTGGCTTGGCTTCTTTTTCTTTCCTTTTTTGTGTATGTGTGTGTGCGCGCACACTGTTGATCAAACCCAGGGCCTTGCGTATGCTGGGCAAATGCTGTACCATTGAGCCGTACTCTCAGCCCATGTTTTAGCTTTTGATAAGTGATTTTCTCTAGACTAAGTTGATGGTTCCTAATCTCAATCAACAAGGACTCCTTTAATTTTTTATTTTTCTACAGGGCACCCAGGTTTAATTTTTTAAATTAAAGGTGTCTTGTACACCTATTAAATAATATCTGTCAAAGTTGGTTTATTAAGTATTTTTTTACCTTTTAATTAATGCTTCTAATCAGCGTGTATTCTCTCATTGAATCTATATAGACACAGCCAAAGCAAAATAACACTGTTTTAGTCTTCCTTTATGTGATAAAGGTGCAATTGTCTATTTCACTTATCAAAATATTTGAAGTAATTTGTGCATACTTGCAGGAGTTCAGGGGAACCCCCCCCCCGCCCGGACCCCAATTATGAACAGTAGTTGTGAGATGTGTGACACTGTTAACAGGAAAGATGGTGTGCATTGGTGTCCTGCCTACATACACTTTCCTCTGGATTCTGCAGGTTTACAGCACTGTCTTTTTACTTAGAATAATGATTATGGTATTAACTGATACATGTACTTTCTCTCCTAATGCATGCCTCTTGTGCTCTTGATACTCCCCATAAGATTTTGGGGACTCAGAGAAGAACAACTTGAGCTGAGTATAAGAGATAGCATTGCATTCTGATAGATGAACAGAGTTTAATGGATAAGATGAGAGAGGGTGGTCCAGAAAACCTTAGCAGAGTTGTTGTGAAGGCGAGCTAGTGAGCAGGCAGTAGATGGTAGAATCTCATACTCCTTGTTTGAGTTTCTAGTTCTGCTGTTGGAGCACTGTGTGATTTGGGCAAGTTCAGTCACTTCTTAAACTATATTCTCTGTAAAATGAGGATAATCTCTAAATTTCTCTTAATTAAGAAAATTAACACAGCACTTGGAAGGTACATACTAGGTGCTTACTAATTCCACATTGGCACTGATGCTATTGCTGTTATTGCTGTGCTTTTTATTGAGATTAAAATACTTAGTGCACATAAAGCATGTAAGCTGTTATTTTTCTAGTTTGAGACATTTTGCTGTGATATACTGTTGTATAGGACTTGGGTAGTAAACATTAATCTGGCATTCATTTTTTAGTTTTATTGTCTTTAATTTTTAAACCCTTGTCTAAAAGAGTGCCTATTTTTAATGGTATATTACCCTTTTAAAATTCTTTCTCTTTTTGCCCTTTTTTTTTTTTTTTTAAGAACAGTAAAATTTATTAGGCTAGAATGGCCCTTTGGAGGTAAAAGTGGGTCATATGAGAAAGAGAGATGGAGCGTGAACACGACATACATCCGGCACAGGTTTATATTAAGGGTCTTGAAGTGTCAAGCCCAGCTTACAGGGAGTGATTGACATGAAAATTGTAAAAGAATTATGACACTTTTCAAGAATCACTCTGTACCAGTGATGGTGGCTCATGCCACCATCTTAGCTCCTTGAGAGGCAAAGATCAAGAGGATCACGGTTCAGAGCCAGCCTGGGCAAATAGTTCATGCGACCCTGTCTCTTAAAAAACCCATTACAAAAAAGGGGTGGTGGAATGGCTCAAGTGATAGTGGGCCTGGCTAGCAAGTGTGAGGCTCTGAGTTCAAACCCCAGTACTGCCAAAAATAAAAACCAAACCAAACCAAAACTGGTTTTTTCTGCCACTGACCTGGTTATTAATTGCCCTATACCTTGGGGAATCTTTGTAGTTATTTTCTGCTATTTAATTCTTAATTTTTCATATACTCAGTGCCTCGTTCAGCTAAATTGTTGTTTAAGAATGGAGAGTATGTCTAAAAAGGGCGTTTTAAAAATTGACATATATTAAACTGTATATAGTAAGGCGTTTCATCATGACATTTCCATATATGAATGTAATGTACTTTGATCATATTTACCTCTTCTTTACTTTTTTATTTCCCCTGTCCTTTCTCCCTCTTTTAGCTTCCTCTTCCACTTCCTTAGTGTCCACCTTTTACTTTCATAAACTTTTTGTTGTTCTTTTGTTTCCCCCTAGCTTCCACAAATGAAAGAAAACATGTGATACTTGTCTTTATGGGACTGGGTTATTTCACTTAACACAATGATCTCCAATTCCAACCATTTTCCAGCGAATGGCATAACTTTATTTTTTCTTGATGGCTGAGTAAAACTCCATTCTATATATTTATCACATTGCCTTTATCCATTAATCCATTGATGGACATCTAGGCTGGTTCCATAATTTGGCTAATGGTACCATGACAAACATGGATATGCAGGTGTTTTCTGTAGTAAGCCAGCTTTGATTGTTTTGAGTATATACCCAGAAATGTTATGGCTGAATCCTATGGAAGTTCTATTTTTAATTTTTTGAGGAATCTCCAAACTGATTTCTATTCCCACCAGCAGTGAATAAGAGTTCTCCCTCCCATCTCCCTCCACCCCCCGATGCACACCCTCACCAGCATTTGTTGTTAGTTATCTTGATGACAGCCATTCTGATAAGGAACAATCTCACTAGTTTTGGTTTGCATTTCCTTCATGACTAAGGATATTGAACATTTTTTCATGTATTGGCCATGTATACTAATTCATTTGAAAAGTGTCTGTTCAGTTCATTTGTCCATTTATTGATAAGACTGTTTGTTCTTTGGGTGTTTAATTTTCTGAGCCCTTTGTATATTCTGGATATTAGTTCACTGTCAGATAAATACCTGGCAAAGATTTTCTCCCATTCTATAGGCCCCTTTACTCTGTTGTTTCTTTTGCTACACAGAAGCTTTTTAATTTGTTATGGTACCTTTGAACAATGCTTATGCTCTTATTTCCTGAGGTATTGGAGTCCTACTGAGAAAGTCCTGCCTATGCCGATATCTTGAAGTGTTTCCCCAATGTTTTCCTTTAGTAGTTTCTAAGTTTTAGGCCTTAAATTAAGATCTTTGATTCATTTTGAATCAGAGTGAGAGATAGGGATCTAATTTCAGTCTTCTACATGTGAATATCCAATTTTCCCAGCACTACTTGTTAAAGAGGCTGTTTTTTTTTTTTTTTTTTTTTTTAGTACTAGGGCCTGAACTCAGGACCTACACTTTGAGCCACTCCACCAGCCCTTTCTTGTGAAGGGTTTTTTCAAGATAGGGTCTCTTGGAGCTGTTTGCCCAGGCTGGCTTTGAACTGTGATCCTCCTGATCTTTGCCTCCTGAGTAGCTAGTATTACAGGTGTGAGCCACTGCTGCCCAGCTGAGGCTATCTTTTTCAGTATATGTTTTGCATTTTGTCAAGAGCCAGATAGTACCTTCAGGTGCTAGTGGCTCATGCCTGTAATCCTAGCTACTTGGAAGGTAGATATCAGGAGGATCACAGTTTGAGGCCAGCCCAGGCAAATAGTTCGTGAGAGCCTATTTTAAAAATGCCCAACACAAAAAAGGTCTGGTGGAGTGGCTTATGCTGTAGAGCACCTGCCTGACAATCGTGAGGCCCTGAGTTCAAATCCCAGTACCACTGGTGGCGGGGTGAGGGAGAAGAACTAGATGGTTGTACCAGCTTGGAGTTATTTCTGGATCTTCTGTTCCACCAATCTCTGTGTCTGTCTTTGTGCCAGTTCCACAGTATTTTTGTTACTATGGTTCTAAACTATAGTTTGAAGTCAGGTTTTATGATTCCTCCAGCACTGCTCTAAAAAGAGCAGCTAATTACTTCATAGGGGTTAATTTATCCAGATCTGTTAAAATATCTTGTACTCAGAAAATCCTTAAATGTGACTAAAGTAAAGCCAGAAGAAGACATTATATCATCACTATCCACTTCTAAAGATGTTATTGTAGAATTCAACTAAGCCAACATCTTAATGTTCAAAGTTTTTCTGGTTTTTTTTTTTTTTTTTGGTGGCACTGGGATTTGAACTCGGGGCCTCGTGCTTGCTAAGAAGGCTCTCTTACCACTTGAGCCACTCTGCTAGCCCCAAAGTTTTTAATTTTTACATTAAATTTTAAAAAACTGTTTTGCAGTACTGGTCATCAAACCCAGGGCCTCACAATATGCTAGTAAGTATTCTACCACTGAGCTATATATTCAGCTCTGTTTTAAAATTTTTAATTGATGTCTGGGGGTTGGTACTAGTATGTGTGGGAGGATATAAGGAAAGGGTATAGAGGGTGGATATGGTGGACATATTATGTACTCATGTATAAAAATGGAAAAATGAGACCTGTTGAAACTATTCTAAGAATGTGGGGGAGGAGGATAAAGGAGAATGATGGAGGGGTGAATTTGACTATGATATAAGAATTTTTGTAAATATCACAATGTACTCCCAGCACAAAATAATAAAAAATAAAATTTTAATTGGCACATACTAATTGTACATATTTATGATGTACAGTGATATTTCTATACACATATACAATGTGCAATGTTCAAATCAAAATAGTTTATCCGTAACTATTACTATTACTATTACTTCTTTATATTGGTAAGATTCAGAATCTTTTCTTCTGGCTGTTGTCCAAAGGTTTTTACATCTTCTTTCCCAGGCAACTCAATGGTACGTGAAGAGAAGATGGTCCTTAGAAACCGGTTGTCGAAGTCCAGTGAAAATCCTGAGAAAGACGAAGACCAGAGAAACCTTACAAATGAGTCCCTAGAGACACGTAGAAATGGTAGGCTTTTAATGATTTTTTTTTTTTTGAGATGAATTGATGGAAAAAACAAAGTGAGTGTTCCGGAACAGGAATTGCCATCTCTTTTGTTCTTTTTATTTTAAATGAATATTGATAGTTTTATGTATCTGATAACAAAGAAATTAGAAAATAAGTTCTCTCTTGTTAATCCAGTGAACACTGAGTATCTGCTATGTTTTAGACATTGTTCATCCACCTGACATCATTCATTAATTTTTTTTTTTTTTTACAAGGTTCTGGGGCTTGAACTCAGGGCCTTCACCTTGAGTCACTTCACCAGCCCTATTTTTGTGAAGGGTTTTTTGAGGTAGGGTCTCATGGAACTATTTTCCTGAGCTGGCTTGGAGCTGCGATCCTCCTTATCGATGCCTCCTGAGTAGCTAGGATTACAAGCATGAGCCACTGGCGCCTGGCCTTCCACCTAACATCATTAATTATTGAAGTGTCCTGTTAGATGGTGGGGTCACAGAAGTGATCAGTACAGATGTATTTGCATTTATGGAATATTTGTATTTATGGAGCTTCAGGTTAAGTCAATGACAAAACCCTCAAAATTACACACAGCGTTGGAAATGTAGTTCAGTCAGTTGGGCACTTGCCTAGCATATGTGAGTACCTGGCTTTGATCTCTAGCACGGCACTGCAGAAAATAACCAACTAACTAACTAACTAAACATATATATATATATATATATATATATATATATATTCACACACAGATTTGTTACAAATGAGTGTAATCCTCTCATAATAAAATTATTAATTACTCTTATAATAGATAGAAGAAGTAAAAATTGAGTAATTAGCAAGGTACATAACCTAGGTCTGCACTGAGCTATAAATCTTAGAGGAAGAGAGATTAGGGAGTTTTACTAGTTCTTACATTTAAGCTTGCTTAGAGTGTGACAGTGCTCGTTAAGGTCAAGGCTTATGATTAAGAATGATAGACTTGTAATTGATGTCATCTATTGCATCAGAATATTTTTGCAGTGATATTTGTATAGGTTTGGTTTCAATAGGGATTTGACATTTGAGCCTTGTTTGGTTAACAAATAGGTGTGGAACTTTGTGAGCCAGGCTGCCTTTGGCATCCTGAGTCTTTTCATGAAGAAGTATTCTTTTCCTATTTTAATTATAAGTGTCAGCATCTGGATCTCAACAGGAATACAAATGTTGCTGCTTAAGTTGGCACAGTGAAGTTATTAACAGACCCTTAATTAGCTATTTGATACTTATATTGCATATAGGTGAGTTCTAATGTGATACAAAAAAATGCACTATATACAAAGGAGGATGAACCAACTTTGGGGGAGAAACAATCTTTTTCCATGATTTATGGACTTAACGATACCATGTGCCTGAAGTCCCATATGATAGAAGCTTTGTGTTATTTTTCCTCCTACTTCTTGAGGACAGAAAAATTATCCTCTTTATATTTAATTTTTTAAGAAGCTTTTAAATTACTCTTAATTTCTACATTTTGGCAGTATTCCTTATTGTCTTAATTCATTAAATTTTAATCATTCTAAGTTTTAGTGCAGATGTTAAAAATTATATTGTTAGCCTAAATCAAAAGTGTGATTACCTCTTTGTCTTAATGTAAGTAATGCTGGCCTGAAGATAAAATGTCTTTCTCCCCTTATTTTAGTGGGAGTTCACCTTGAGGAGTCAGAGGAAGGCTAAAATGTGATCTTTAAATAGCAAGGGCTTGAAGGATGCCAGCCCAGTCAGTGTGGCCTACCAACCAGGACAACCTGGAAGCTTATTAGAAATGTCTCACCTCACAGTTACTGAATAAATTTTTACTTTCTTCGACCCTCAGGTGATTCATACGCATGGTAAAGTTTGAGACACAGTTCTTAATGTGGCCCTCCTCATTGGAGAATCACCTGTGGACGAAATGCAACAAATTCATCTTCTTGGACCTCATTGTAGATCTGAATCAGAATCTCTAGTGGGAGGGCCCGGAAGTGTAAAGTATGGAAAAGCTTGCTAGATGATACTGATTGGGATCGGTGGCTGAAAACCCCTCTATTAGGAACTTTGAGACCCTTTTTTCATTAAACTCAGCCTGTATGGTTCTTGTATTTTAATCCTGTGGTTTGTAATTTAGTAATTTAATGATAGGATGACCTTTTGTCCTAATTTGCCCAGTTGTCCCATTTTTTTACCTGTGTCCCATGTAATTTTTATAGTGTCCCCTTTCATTCTCAGAAGTGGCCTGGTTTGTTTGATTAAATCATATACCACCCAACCTTTGGGTCTTGAATTAATCCTGATCATTATAGTGACTTGTGCAGTATTTAGTTCACATTTTCAAAAAAGCTTCTTTTGTTTATTCAGTGCCTATTGTGTGAAATTCATTAGCTATCTTATTTTTTGTGGCATTTGTTTGAAATAACCAGTTGTGAAGATAAAGTTTTGTTCAAATTGAAAATGTTGTCATTGCTTGATTTTAAAAATAATATATATACATCTAAATTTTTAATTGTGGTATGATATACATTAAGTGTTCAATTAACTACAAACATACAGAAAAGAAAAAAATAGGTAAAAATGACCTCAAGTTTTATCACTGAGTAATGAGTATATCCTTCCTGATACTTCTTTCTTATGAGTAAGTAAGGTTTTATATAAACAGGATGTTCATATGCTGTTAATAATTTGTATGTCAACAGCACATTATCTTTCCATTGTCAAGAAGCAGATGAGTGATCACAAACTATTTTGTGTATTTCCTATGCGTTATTTTTGTTCCTCTGAATATTTAAATTGCTTCTGTTTTTAATAACTCTTACCTGAAATGCTTGGATTTGGGGTTATTTGCATAGACTTTATAGGTTAAGCATCCCTAATCTGAAAATCTGAAATCCAGAATGTTTCAAAATTTAAAAATCATCCAGAAAGTTTCGGATTTTAGAGCACTTCAGTTTTTGTATTAGGGATGCTCAACTGGTATAAACAAACTGAGATGAAAATCTTTATGTATTTGTCAGGTACCTAAAAAGAAATCATAGGGTCAAAGGATGTTACTTAAAATATCTATTCTTAATCTTATTTTGTTTTATTGTATTTATTTTTGTGGCATTGGGGATCAAACCCAGGCTTCACACATGTAGGCAAGTGCCGTACTACTAAGCTACATGCCTAGCACTAAAGTATTTTTATGTATAGTGTCAGAGTGCAACATATACTTTTAAGTTCTATAAACCTGTCCTGCTGTGTTTTGTTGTTACTTTTGGCCATTAAAATATTTTAAATCTAGTATCTTTCAGGGGAAAGGTTTTTTGTTTTTTTTTTTGTCTTTTCTTTTTTGGTGCTGGGATTGAACCCAGGGCCTCACACATGATAGGCAAGCGCGGTACCACTGAGCTACATCCCAGCCCTCTAGGATCTTTCTTACTAGTACTTTTTTTCCTTTTCTTTTTATCTTTTTTTTTTTTTTTTTTTTTTTTGAGACAGGGACTCACTGTGTAACCCAGGCTTGGCTGGAACACATTATATAGCCCAAGCTGGCTTCAAACGCAAGATCCTCTAATTTCAGCTTCCAGAGTTCTGGGATTAGAGACGTGGGCTACCACACCTACCTTTAGTACTTTTTTTTCCATGACTTTTAGTGTACCTAGCTGTTATTTCTGCCTTAACTTTCTGATTTGCATCTCTGAAAATATACTGCAGGTTCATTCTCGGAGAAGTAAATAGAAATTAGAGCCCTGCGTAAATTAACAGAAAAAGCTAAAATTTGGAGTCTGATTTGGACCCAGTTAGTAGTTTTGCCATTTAGTACGTCTGTCTTGATGCTAGATGTGGAAATATAATTGGATTAGTCTCCTTTTTTCTCCCTTTTCTTTCCCTTTCTCCCTTTTTCTCATCCCCTTCTCTCATTTTTGTACTAGAATTCCTTCTATTTATCAATATATTCGTAAGCCATAAAATTCACCATTTTAAAGCCTACAATTTAAGTTGCTAGTATTTTCACAAGTTTCTAGAACCAATACCACTGCTTAAATCTAGAATTTTTTTTTTGGTGGTACTGGAGTTTGAACTCAGGGCTTCATGCTTGCAAAGCTTCTTGAGCTATTCCTCCGGTCCAGTTCCAGAACATTTTTGTCACCCCCCGCAAAAGAAACCTTGTACCCATTAGCAGTCGCTCCCCATTCCTACCTTCCCTCAACCCCTAGCAATCAACCACTGGTCTACTTCTGCTGTCTTTTTTTGTTTATTGAGACAGGGTCTTGCTTTGTAGCAAAGCAGGCCTTGAACTTGCAGTCCTCCTTCCTTAGCCTCCTAAATGCTGGAATCACAGTCATGTACAGCTCTTCTGGTCTTTCTTTTTTTGAGGTAATGGGATTTAAACTGAGGGCCTTTGCTTGCAAGGCAAGTGCTTTACCACTTGAGTCATACATACCTCCTGTCCTTTTTTGCTTTACTTATTCTTCAAGTAGGGTCTCACATTTTTGCCTGGGGCTGGCCTTTGACTGATCGTCTTACCTAAAGTCTCTCACCTAGCTGGATGACAGGTGTGTTCTACCACACGTAGCTTTTTGTTAAGACAGCGTCTCATTAACTCTCCCTTTTCCCCCACCCCTCAAACTGCTGTTCTCCTGATCTCTACCTCCCAAGTAGCTGGGATTACAGATGTGTGCCACCACGCCTGGCATTCTTCACTCTTTTTAAGTATACAGTCCAGTGATCTTAAGTACTTTCATAGTGCTGTGCAACCATCACCACCATCCATCTCAAGAACTTTTTTTAATCTGCCAGTCCCTAGTGTCTGTCATTCTGTTTTCTGTCTCTGTGATTTTGATTACCTGGTACCTATCTTAGTCAACTTTCCATTGCTATACAAATACCTGTGACAAATCAATTTATGAATAGAAAAGCCTTATTTTTTGGCTCACAGTTTCAGAATTTTCAATTTCTGATTGATTGTTCCCGTTGCCTTGGGCCTGGTGATGCAGCATGGTGGAAGCAAACAA